AAATGGATCCAGAATGAGTTTAAAACACATTTAGCATTAGAGAAGGTTCACAAATTGGCTCCAAATTTCCAGAGAATTGCGTTAATTCAGTTACATATTTCATTGTGTCCTAAGATTAAAATGACCAGTTTCTCAAGGAAAGAAATATCCCTCCTGATTCTGAGACCAGAGTAAAAGTTACCCTTTTACTCTCTTAAAATACTTTTTTCCATACACTAAACATCCTCAGTAACATTCATAGAGTTAATATAAACTAAACCTTAACATATTTTCTATAAGGAAATGGATGAATAAATCTTTAATTGCCAAATATGCCTCAGGAATGATATTTCTTGTTCATATTTTAAACTGCTTTTGTCACTAAGAATAAATAAATAGGTAGTTTAGATTGAGACTTCAAGGACTTAAAAAAATATATCTGTAAACAGTTTCCAATCCCACAAAGGTCATTACTAGCATTGACATTCAAGAAAAGTGTAATGGTGTCACACTATATTAATTTAATAACACACATATGAATATATGTGTGACAAAGAAGATACTCTTTTCTGTTTTTATATTATTACTAAATGGTGAAATTATGATTCCGAAACAGCACAGAAAAATGTCCCACCTTTACACGGAGCCAACTATGACCCTTGTTAAAAGATCACAAATCAGCTTTAAAGCAAGCAAAGGTGACAAATTCTTCCCATTTTCTGGGTCAAGAATTCCTTTGCAATTAGAGAACTGGGCCAATATCAATCCTAGAGCAGCAAACCTCAGGTTGTAGCTCAAGCTGGATTAAAAAATAAGACTGCTAGGGGAGAAATGAATAGTGATTACAAGTGGTATGAAGTGGAACACAGAATAATGGGGAGGGAACACCAACTGAGTTGGGAAGAGGAAGGTCAATACAGAAGTAGGAGGGACTAGGGAACTAAACATATCTAAGTTGCTTGATAAAGCCTCAAGGAATCTTATTTTTATTTACATAAAATTTGCACTATATATGTATATCTCATATATCACATACACACACATATGAGGTTAAGTCACTTGGGCTAACAATGCTCCCCCCAAGAACCATAAACTAACAAAAATCCCAGTATTAGGCGCAACAATCTCCTTTCAGATGGTTGGACTAGGTGACTTACACTATAGATTATCAATATAGTCCTTGGTTACCTCTCAGGGGATGAGGGTTGGTTCCCATTGCTGAAGACACTGCACACTTAGAATACAGAACTTGGATGATACTGGCTGGATCTGACCTGAAAGCCTTTTTTCCTGTGGTCTAACTTTCATGGTTCCAGAAAATAAATACTATGAAGCTTCCAAAGGAGATAAGCAATTAAACAGTGCTATCCAGTGGCAACATCTATGAACCACAATAACAACCATCATGGCACTGTATACATAAAGTTACACTTGTTGGCACTCAAAGTCTGCTTCCAACATAGTGTCTCCTAGAAATGGATGCATATCAATAAATATGTTAACACGGAAGGGAAAAAAGTTTCACAGGGGCCCACCCTTGGACAAAAAGCTACTGGCAACTAATGACTGCTGGGAGGAGGAGAATTAGCTTTTCCCAGGGATGAGACTTATTTGTTGTGCATAGTGGTCAGCCCTGAAACCATATCCACACAAACAAAAAAGGTCTCAGTAGGTTGTCTTAATGTGTATTTGTTTGTGTGTACCTGCAGACACACACACACACACACACACACACACACACACACGCACGCACGCACGCACGCACGCACGCATGCACGCACGCATATATGTAGCAATAATAATCAAAGAAAAAGAGTGTCAAATTAGGAGTAGGGTATGGGAGACACTGGACAGAGGGGACCTGGGAGGGCCTGAAAAAAGTAAATGGAGCATGAACAACGATACAATCCTATTTAAATTAAAAACTTAAACTTAAAAAAAAATCACTGAGACTGAAGTATACAGCAAAGAGAAAAAAAATAAGGAATTTAGATTCTCAGAATTCACATCTATGAAACAGAGACTTGGCAACTAAAAACAATAATTTCCTATAAAAAGAGATAAAGGTAACATTATCAGTTTTAGTATGGAAATGCAGTGTGGATAACAGATCCAGGAAGAACACTGGCAGATATAACAGCAGCAACTCTCTGGAAGTTTAAAAGGTGGAGTGGTTGAAATAAAACTGTCCCTCACATTCTCAAGCATTTTCACACTTGCTACTGTACACACACCACCAGTTGGTTGTGCTATATGGAGAGGGTTAGGAGGTGTTGCTTTGTTGGAGAGGAATGTTGCTAGTGGTAGTGTAGCACAAATCTTAAAAGGTCTTATTGATAAAACAAACCCGGAGCCAGTTATTGGGGTGAATACTGAAAGATCAGAGAAACAGAACCAGGCACAGCTAATCTCACCTCACCAATTCCTCAGCTGATTTTGTTTCCTCAAACTGGAAGACTTTGTGCCCTCATCCGAATGGATCTCAGCCGAACTGCTGCTAAAAGCCTAAAAGCTTAACCAGGCTCTAGTTCCTGGTCCTCATGCCTTATATACCTTTCTGCTTCCTGTCATCACTTCCTGGGATTAAAGGCTGTGTGGCACCATGCCTGGATGTTTCCAGTGTGGCTTTGAACTCACAGAGATCGGGATGGATCTCTGCCTCCAGAAGGCTAGGATTGAAAGTGTGTGTGCCACCATTTTCTGGCCTCTATATCTAGTGGCTCTTCTGTTCTCTGACCCCAGATAAGTTTATTAGGATGCACAATATATTGGAGGACACAATATATCACCACAGAGTAGTAGGTTTTGATAATTTTAGACTTCACACTCTCTTATGCTTCAAAATATGAACTCCCATCTTCCTGCTCTAGCCACCATGCCTCCACTCTATCATCATCGACTTTTATTCTTCTGGAATCATAAGCCATAGAGGTAATTTATTTCTTAAGTTACTTTGCTCATGATGCTTTACCATAGCAACAGAAAAAGTAACTAACACAGAAGTCATTCATGGGAATGACTACAACAATGGCACAGCACAGGAGCACAGTCAAATTTTCAGCCCCTTCCTCCCTTGCCCTAACCTAATAAGATATTTTTATTCTCCTGATATTGTAGTCATGATGAAACATTGCAGATCTCCACTCTGGTACTTTGCCCATGCAAAGCATTGTTATTGCACTCTGAATCCACCACAGTATTTTCATTACCATTAAGGCCCTATTCTAATTGACTACCCTTGACAATGACCAAGTATACAGGGATCCTGACACAGGATGATTCTTGAAAGACAAGTCTATTATGACAGTAATCTTTGACTCTAGGGCAACAGGATGATATTGCTGATACTTCTTAGGTTATCATTATTTGGGGAATCAGAATTCCATCCCCTGGCTTTTTCCAACTTTCCCCCATTTTCTGTTATAGGAACATTTCCACTGATTGCATCCTTGCCTGGTAAACCCATCAGGATGTCGTCTTCTTGTTAGACTTAGTTGTAGGACAAGTAGGGTGATGTAATAAAATGCAATCAATGACAGAGATTGAGAATGATAGTACCCAACAGGTGAAGAGACTGTCAGTCTGTTGATAAATGCTAAGTGAATATTTCCTGGTGCAAAGGGCTGGTACAATTACTAAAAATCATTATCTATAATTTCTAAAAGGAAAACAGGAAGCAAGCAAGCAAGGAACAAATGAAGGAAATTAAGAAGAGAGAAGTGAAGGCAATAAAGAAGAAACGCTTGCTGTAAAGCACAAGCATGCTTTGATGTCATGATGCAAGCCTTTAAAAATGTTGGGGGAAATAACTACAAAGAGAGTAGAGTTGGCTGAACATAGCTAAACTCTATTGATGTCCTACAGAAAGAATGAAAAGTGGAGCCCACAATGTGTTAGTAATTAGTGAATGAGAAAGTCAGAGCCTTTGTGATAGAATGACTTATGATCTGCTGTAGAAGAAGGCACAGAGTGGTGCAGGAGTCTGAAGAACTAGTTGTTGAAATCACAGAGTTTGTGAGGGCTTGAATGCTTAATCAAGGTAACTATGAGTGGGTCAATCAGATATATGAGAAAACCTGAGATCTAAATATGTTTAGATCAAGATGGATGACTAGGGATTCTGCTCAATTGATGGAGTGTTTGCTTGGCATGCACAAGACCTTGGGTTCAATACCAAAGAACACAATACATTCCAATATCATATATGCTGAGAATGAGACATTATTGGGGCCTCAGCTTGTACCTAGAAGAGGAGGCAAGGCTCCAAGTGCCTATTTGAACACAGTAGAATATATTGTATTTCCAGGAAGAGTGAGTTGATTCTGTGTTAGAACAGAAACTCTGAGCTGCTTAGAATAATCCATAGAGATGTTTCTTTTTGGTTTTGTTTTCTCTTTCTTCTTTTGACAGGCCAGGCTGGCCTTAAATGTTTTGTATAGTAGGGCATTTTTAGGGTGATATGCGAGTCAGTACGTTACCAATGACATCATCAAATGGAAAAAAAAGAGAATAGCTGGGGTAACTATAGAAGCCTAAAGTTGGGGGAGAGAATGAAAATGATAATAGCCATTTCTGGTAAAGTGGATATATTAGAGTTATACTAGAAAGGGATATAAAAAAAAAGACAAGAAAACTAGAAACATGGATGAGTTAAATTTGGTGTAAAGGTGGATAACCACTCAGAGGATCCAGAAATCACACCATTCACAAACTTTTCAGGAACTTGATAGTTGTGGGTATACCAGTAACCACTAAGAGACTCGTCCATAGATTTCCTCTACAGTCCAAGAAAGAATGTAGAGAGGCTACCAGAAGTCTAAGATAATCAAACTTTATCTAATCCATTTGAGAGGCCATGCTTAAACACAAGAAGCACAGAAACTGTGAATATTATAACTGCCAGTGGTGTTGGAACAACAGTAAGAGACAGCAGCATGCAGGGAGCTGTGAAGATAACCCAAGAAATAAAATAAATGGCAACTAATGAAAAATTTAAGAATGGAAATGGAGTAAAAAGGGAAAAACAGAAGACTGAGGGTTGTGAGTGTAAGACAAATTGCTAAACAATCTTATTAATAAAAAACCTGGAGCCAGATATTGGGGTTAAAACTTAGAGATCAGGCAAACAGAAAGAAGCCAGTCACATTCTTACTGCTAGAAATCCTTAGCCCAAAGAGAGAGCTCTTCCTGTATACTCATGCCTATATGCCTTCTCTGCTCTGCCCACTCACTTCCTCTCTCTGCTCAGCTACATCATTTCTTATCTGTCTGTACAGACCTCCAGACCTCTATGGTACTAGTGCTGGGATTAAAGGTGTATGACACCACGCCTGGCTCTGTTCTCAGTGAGGCCTTGAACTCAGAGATCTGGATGAATCTCTGCCTCCCAAATCCTAGGATTAAGGGCATGTGCTACCACAGCCTGAACTCTGTGTTTACTATGGTAGCTAGCTTTTTCCTCTGATCTTCAGATAAGCTTTACTAGGGTGCACAATATATTGGGGGACACAATATACCACCACATGTGAGAGTAAAAAAATTACCATGTTTTATATTCCATTCCAAAACGTGAGCCCACTTGCACACCTGATACCCATTAACTACAAAGCCATTCAGTTCTTGGGAGAAAACAATCCTGCAACACTACAACAAGAATAAGAAATGAAAACTGTCCGAGGGAATATTATGAGTCACTTTTCTTATGTTTACAGAAAACATCAACATAATGGAGATATAATTTTCTTTTTTAAGGCTACAGACAGTCTGTCATGGTGGAAAAGCTATGAAGTGACTTGTGGCAGTGTGCATTGAAGGCATATCCTGGCAGATGAAAAGAAAGAGGCCACGAATTTGAAGATGAATAGAGAGGACTATATGGGAGGGTCTGAAGGGAGGAAAAGGAAGGGAGGAATGTTGTAATTAAATTGTAATTTCAAAAAGAATAAAGCCAGGTGGCGGGGTGCACACCTTTAATCCCAGCACTCAGGGAACAAAGCCAGGCAGTTCTCTGTGAGTTCAAGGCTAGCCTGGTCTACAGCATGAGATCCAGGACAGGCACAAAAACTACACAGAGAAACCCTGTCTTGAAAAACAGACAAACAAACAAACAAACAAACAAACAAAAAATAAAGAATAAAAGAATAAGAGTTGAATACAGTCTTCAAAGGTCTGCTCTTAGAGGCTGATTTCTTCCAGATAGGCTTCATGTATCAAAGACTTTATAACCTCCCTAAATAGCATCACCAACTATGGACCAAAAACATGAGGCTGTGAGGGACATTTCAAACACAACCTATAAAAGAGACCTATTTATAAACATTTATTCTAGTTTCCTACTTCAATGAAATATCCATTTTTTAAGACAATTGGATAGACCAAGGTTCTTTATTGATTTTAATGCCTTAAAATGGTAGTTCATTACAAACCCCTTGTCAGGGTGATAGCCTATGGAAAATAACTCCATCTTACAGCATGTCCCTTGGACACCAGAACCTGACACAGTTATTTTCCCTGTCCCTGGAAAAATACCTAGATTGGGTACCCTTGATCATGGGAGTCCACAGCACTGGGGTAACAACCATCAGGAAAGGCACATTGGGAACTTTTGAAAATGTCCACTCTCCATTCATCTACTTCCTGACAACACATGAAAACCAACATCTTATCCTCAGAGTTATGGCTGAAATTAGCATTGCTAAACTAATGATGCAAGTTTCATGTACCATTGCATATCTCTGTTTAATTCACTGATAATAGCCCCAAGGAAATGAGATAAATACAGAAAAGAGATACATGTTTAATAAAAATTTAGTGTTTATATCAGTTTGTACAATAACTCCAGGAAATTATAAAAGCCTCATTATTAAAGAGTTTGTGGACATTTATTGGGTAAATATAATTTTCACCCTTCTATTATGATTTATCTCCAATTTTAACTTGACTGGATTCAGAATTACCATGGAAACACACCTTCTGCTCTGTATGTGAGAGTATTTCCAGAAAGGTCCAAATGGGAATGAAAAAGCTACTCCAAATGTGGCATATTGTCCCATGGAGCAGGATCCTGAACTGAATACAAAGAAAATTTAAGAAGAGAACCAGCATTCATCTCTCTCTCTCTCTCTCTCTCTCTCTCTCTCTCTCTCTCTCTCTCTCTCTCCTTCATCACTCAGGATGCAATGTTCTAATATCTCCACCATAATGAAGACTGCACCATCACTCTGTGAGTCAAAATAAGACCTTCCTTCCTTGAGGTACTTTCCTTGAGGTATTCTTTCAAAAATATGACACAAGTAAATGCTGCATATTCCAGTTAAAAGCACATGGTATCAAACAGTTCATTCATTTTCCACTGCTGATTTTGTCTTAGGGTTATGCCATAGTATGGTCTGAAATGGCTGTGCAGCATAGATAGGCCATAGAATATCTCATTCTGCCTTTATGTTAATGGGCATCACACTGACTTGACAGGTTAAGCATGATAAACTAAAAAAAACTAGGATAAGCTGTGTACTTCAAGGTATAGAAAATGAACCCTAGATGATGTTTCAGAAATGTTCACCTCCATTATAATTTTAGAGGCCTGGTGGCCGTGGCCTTGCTGAGTTTCTCCTAAAACAAAATAAAATACTGCATTTGCTACCATAAAGAATGGCATACAATGCTTCACAGGCAAGAATTCTAATGCCCAAAACTTATGGAGGTATTTATTCAATGCACCACATTCCATTCCTTGGCTCCATAATCCCAAAGTCTTCTACATTCTTCCAAAAAAGTCCACATGGTCAGTTCTGTCACAACAGTAACCATGATCTTGGTAATGATTTCTATGATAGTTACATTCTAATTGCTGTAATAAAACACCACAAGAAAAGAAATAGTTTATTTGGAGCTTATTATTCCAGAGATGTCTCAGGATTTCTACTGCTGTGAAGAGACACCATAACCACACCAACTCTTATAAACAAAAACATTTAATTGGGGCTGGCTTACAGTTTCAGAGGTTTAGTCCATTATCATCATGGCAACGTGCAAGCAGACATGGTGCTGGAGAAGGAGCTGCGAGTTCTACATCTTGATCCACAGGCAACAGGCTTTAACTGTATACTGGGTCTAATTTAAGCGAATATGAGACCTCAAAGCCCACCCTCATAGTGACATACCTCCTTCAAAAGGCCACATCTCCTAATAGTGGCACTCCCTATGGGCCAAGCATTCAAACACATTAGTCTATGAAGACCATACTATTCAACCAGCATAAGAGGGTTAGAGTTCATAATGGAAGGGTTAGGTGGCAGGCAGCTGGAGCAGCAGATTAGAACTCACATCACAAAACACACACAGGAAGCAGAAGGGGCTAACTCAAAATGGTGCAGACTTCTAAAACCTTAAAGCACACCCCCAGGAAGCTCATTTCTGAAGCAAAGCCACACTATCTAATCCTCTCCAAATAGCCACTAACTGGGGATCACATATTCAAATGGCCAAAATTTATGGGGATATCACATAGTCATGGTCTCTTAGCACAGCAATAGAAAACTAATAGTACCATAATACTACTGATAGAGAATTTAGAAAAGTACTACAATATGAGAGAAATCTTAAAATAAAATCAATAATGAGAAACACAAACATTTCTTAATACCCAAAATCATATACATAAAAGCAACAATAAATAAACTCAGCTGGTTGTATTTATATTTTTATGTTTTTATAAATATAATAATAATAATTTTTTGAAAAGACCATGAATTTGAGAGGGAGTGATGTGCACATGGGAGAGATGGAAAGGACATCAAGAAAAAGGTGAAATAAGGCAATTATAATTTTAATTAAAATAAAATAATTTTTTAAAGTATACCTTGCTGTGGCAAGATTTCTCAGTGGGTAAAGGCACTTGCAACCAAGTCTAATGACCTAAATTCAATCTCTAGGACTCAAATGACCTAAC